CCCTGCAAATTTTCCTTGCCCACCTGGCTCTGCACACCCTCTCAGAGTGGGTGTCATAGGAGTAACCAGCTCACAAGAACAGGAGCACACACGACGGCCTGTGTCTGCCCAGCACAGTGACTAGTCCACACACTCTCGACCCAAGCGTTCTCCTCTGGTCAGCTCATGGCGAGCACAGGGCCTGAGCCTGCCATAGGGATACCAGGGAGGAGAGTTTTACTTGGCATCCACCGTTCCAGACTGGACAGCATCCCCACAAGGGCACCTCCCTCGTTACCTCCCCATACGAAAAGCCCAAATCTTGTGCCATCTGCTGCCTCAACCACTGGAGCTCTGACAGGCACTGGGAAGCCTTATTGGTCTTTAGAGTTATTTTATTTCACTAAGCCCCTTGGCTGCCTACTTGTGTAAGGCTTGGAGTCAGGGCCTCCAGCGTGGAGGTGAACAAGCCCAGCCTAAGCTCCCCCACCCCCAGCCCCGGCCCTGAGGTAGCCACGAGGCAGCCAATGATGATCCGGGACTGAGCACCCCATACTGCACTCTAAAAGGCAGTGAGATATGAAGGGGCCAGAAAGATGGTGCTAATTTACATGGGTTCTGAGACCAGAGGAAGGGGCCATGAAGGCACAGGGCGGAGGGCGAGAATGAGGCTTAGGATGTGAGGTAGCCCTGGCCCAGGGCAAGGCAAGGGGCCCAGCTGCAGGGAGGAGGAGGCTGGGGTGTCCCAGGCCAGCGTGGCTGGTGACCACGTGTAGTGGACGGGGGAGATGAGCTCAGAGAAGGTTTGGACAGAAGCCAGGGCGGCCTCGGTAAGCTCCATGGAAACACCCAGGCTAGAGGCCAGGTTTCTTCTTGTGATATGAACTTAGCCCTAGGTTGCAAATGTGGATTAACAGATGACTATTGCAGTAAAAAGGGGGTGCAGGCAGGCTTGTTGGGACCCCAGGAAGAGCTAGTGATGTGAGGGATCTAAAGATCTGACACCTGGGAGACAGGAACAGAAGGTCCAGGGTCACCAGGCAGGACGCAGGAGAAGGACCCGCACCCAGACAGGGTCCAACAGCTCACCCCTCCTCAGACCAAGGCTCCTGCTTAATTGTTTTACTTCTTTTTTCTTTTTTTGTCTTTCTGAGACATCATCTCGCTATGCAGTTCTGGCTGACCTTGAGCTCACTTTGTAGCCCAAGCTGGTCTCTAACTCACAAGGATCCTCCTGCCTCAGCCTCCCGAGTGCTGGGATTACAGCTGTACACCACCATGCCTACCTTCCCGCTTAGTTCTTTGGGGGGAAAAGTAAAGGAAATATGAATTTATGAGCTGATTCAGCAGAAGACATTTGAAAACATGCAGTCACTCCTCGGGCTTGACACTAGACCTAATATGTGAAGGTAAAAGCAATCGGTTGAGTTGGGACTTACATTTCTAACGGTGCAGACTAGAAATTCACAGACAGCACTCAAAGTACAGCAAGACTGGAGATGGCGGGCACGGAGAGACCCTTCCCCAAGGGAACGTCCTCAGTGAATCAACTCTAAAAGTCAGGGAAAACACGTAGAAAACCACATTTGCCTTCACTTCAGCTGTAGGTAAACTGATTTTAAAAATCTTGTGAAAGTAAAGACTCTGGAGGAATGCTAGCCACAATTCCACTCTCACATGCTTGATGTGGGAATTCACACTGACCACTGGGGAAAACAGCAAGCCTTGCAGAAACAGCGCTGCAGGAATGCACTGAAAGCAGGTTTCACAGAGACTCTACAGACACACTTGTATGGAATATTCTAGTTCAGAACAGAAATCCCCAAACACGTGGGAGAAACAAGCCACAAACAAATCCAGCCAGTGCAGGCACCGGCTGTGGACCGGACTGGGAAGACAGTGAGGTCATCACGCGCACAGCATAAAATAGTTTTTGCTGAGTGGGCTTAAAAAGAGAAGGAAGTGTGATAGACGAGGGTATAATATATACTAGGAGTGTTTTCAAAAGAGCGGATGGCAGCTTTATAAATAACGCAACTGGAACAAAAAACTTCAGTTTAATCAGCAGTTTAGACAAAGCCTTTGTGAGAGTCGAGTGGACAGTAGATCTAAAGAAATTGTCTTGGACTCAGTGAAGAGGCATAAAAGACAAAACTGAAGAACACATTCTTTTCTAAAAGTGCAGTGGCTGGGAGGCCAGGGAGGGCACAGTGAGTGACGGGGAGGGGGATTCGCCACACCTGAGCGAGGCTGACCTAGCATTTCCCAGAACAGCAGGGCACCAAGCAGGAGAGCCTGTGTGTCAGTCAGCTCTGTGCTGCGGAACAAAGCCCTGGGTGGTTAACTTAGGAAGGCTGGTTTGGGTTGTGGACACAGCACTCCAAGATGGAACTGTCCCACTGGTGTGGGCCCAGACGAAGGCACTCCACGGCAATGGGGAGACCCACGTCACAGAAAAGGGCTGCAATCCGAGGTCCCGTGACCCCTTTCTGGGGCACCCACAGCGACCCTGCTCTTGCGGGCCACAGCACCTCCCAACACACAATTCGAGCCACGTATCAGCACATGAATTGGAGATGTCACCAAATTCAGACCAACCACTATTTTGCTGTGTTAAAAATGCCCTGAGTGCAGATATGGCAAAGCTAACAGAAAAGATAGCACGGTGAACAGCTTTGGACAACAAGCGGAGACAGCTGAGATAAAGTTCTAGACTTGAGAACTCTGAAACTATCATGGAACACATAGCACCCTGAAAAATCCTAGCATGATTTAAATATCCTTGTCAGTGTTTTAAATATTTTCCCAAATACTGTATGTCTTAACAGTTGGGGATGTATTATTATCCAAAATATCATGTATTTTTATAAACAAAAAAAGATCACATTTTATACAACTAAAAATTAAAAATGGATAAAGATTAGAAAGCAGTAAGTAATATTTTCATTATTTTTAGGTCCTGTGATTGTCAACGTTGAAAACAAAAAATTCTAAACAGATTAGTATTAGAATGAAAGGAAAGTTTAAGCAAGATTGATATACAACTAATACACTAAGCTTCACAGTATTTCTTTATACCAAAGACAAAACATTAGATGTTTTTCAAAACTATTGCAAAAGCAACTGAAAATAAGAAGTACCTAGGAGTAAATCTACCAAATGATGTGTAAGGCTGTTGTGGAGAAGTTTATCTGTTCTTTGAAAGAGATTTTAGGGGAGGGCTAAAAAATGGAAAGCTACCAGCACACCATGGAACAGGACATCGATTTCAGGTCTCTAAATTAATCTATAAATTCATGTAAAGCCAATGAAAGCCCAACGGGCTTGTTCTTTGTGAACTTACAGTTTATAAAGAAGTTCCGAGAGCCAAGACAGAGCAGCCCTGGGTGCTTATGCGGAAGACGTGAGAATGTTTTAAGGCTGTAATCAACAAGGCACTGTGGCAGAGGGAAAGCTGTTGTAATTAAACCATGAGGGGTCAGGAAAAAAAACCCAAAAAATATACGGGAAAAAGCTTCAATGCAGAAAGGCACTGCAGAGAAATGGGTTCTTGAAAGACTGATAGTAATAAAACCAACAAACTAGAGTGTCTGTGTGGGGAAAAGTGAGGATGGGCTCCTGCCTCATGACATGAACAAAAATAATTCCAGATGGATTAAGAACTTATATCTGAAGATAAAACCTTAGCACTGTTTGAAAATATATATAGGAGAACAGTTTTATAAGCCAGTAGTTAGAAAGAATTTTCTTAAGACAATATGCAAACTGAAAAATATTTGTACAAGTTTAAAAGAAAAAGACAACTCTAAAGAAAATAAACAAAGACAGGGACAGTCATTTCCCTTGAAAGAAAATCCAACCGGCCCAGATAAATGTGAAAAACACTAAATTTCTGCTATTAGTTACATAATTACACTAACCTGATTTATAAAAATTTTAAACCTTATCCAGGTGCTAAGGAAGACTTCTCATTTACTATTGAAAGCTTATAAATAAGGTCTTTGCAAAGAATAGTCTCATCTAATGATGTTGAAATAAAATTGTATTAATCCTGTATGAAGCTGTTTATCTCCTAACATAATTACGCAGAGCCCAACGCTCACCAAAGCACTGCGGATAGTGTTCAGAGCTCAGTGCCCAGGTCCAGAGCCCACAGACAGGAGGGAAGATGAGGGCAGGGGCGATCCCTGATCCCTGCAGTCGGACACTGTAGAGTGGGCCATCGCATTATGACCAACCTAGCGTCTGAGCAACGCGGATGACTGACGGAATCTTAGGCTTAACTTACAGCCAAAGTGCTGAGTTAGGACCCGAATGCCAGCCTTTTGTGGGGTGGAAAACCAAGACTCAATGCCAGAAAAGCGGGTGTAGGCGAACGGACCTGTCAGTGCGAGCCCAGATGTGCACGTCACATTTCGGTCAGTGTTTTTTATAGTCACTATGATCACTGCTCTCCAAGTGGCCTCCAAAAAGCTAGAAAAGAAGCTAAGGGAGGAAGGGAAGGGAAAGAAAGCAATCCCAATAGAAAAGAGCAATGTTAAAAGAAGAAGACGGAAACAGAGATCCTTAGACCAGCCTTTAGTTCTGAACAGGTTGAGCCCTAGCGAGCCGGGAGCAGGTCCTGGAGGGCTACAGACTCTCCCAAGGGGAGAAAGGACGGCAGAGAGCCGGATTCCTGACGTTCTTAGGGATGGACAGGGACCCTGCTTCCCACAGTCACCACCTCCCGTCCACCCTCCCTCTGCAAGCCACAGGTGTCAACTCGAATGGTGGGTCAGTGTGAAATTGTTGCTTCTGGTAAACCTAGCAAGCAAAGGGACCAGAGTGTGTGACACAAACTCAGGCAAAGAGCCACGGCAGCCACACGCTGCCTCCACAGGCGGGAATCTTTCAGGCCACTCGAGTGTCATGAAACTGATGGAAAGGGCAGCAAGGAGTAAGTGGCATCCAGCCATCCATCCAGCCTACAGCTGCAAAGGCCGAAAGAAGTGTAAGAGGGACAGGGACAGAAGTATTTCAAACTGAGCATAAATATCTCCACGTTGAGTGATGTCCAGGTTTTCCAGGTCACCGGGCGCTGCATCTCTGAAACCAGCTCCACGAGGCGACCCATACAGGAAGGCAGGGAAGTCCATGTAGGTCACCCACAAGTCCAATGTTCTTGCACAGAGCTGAAATTAGCAGTGTGGGTCTTGCTTCTTGAAATTATTCACATGTTCTCTGAGAAGCTGCCCTTTTTCCAGGAAGCCTCTCACGCTCAGAGGGGAACAGACTTCTCTGGGTCCTACAAATATCTACAAATGAGGTTAGTATTTCCTGCCTTCCTCAAGAGACGGTGGCCAATGGCTGCTCTGAGGCTGGACCGTGCAAAGGACAGGTAAGGTGTGGCTGTGTTCAGTCCTTTTCCCCTCTTGTGAACTCTTCAAATTTTTTTTGATTGGTATCATTCCAAAAATTATAAACGAGGAAGAAATATGTGTTGTCTCCCAAGAGGCGGTTGAACTTTGCCCAGAATGCTTAAGAAAACATCCGGTGGATGTTTGCTGAGGGAGCTATGTCAGCTCATCCTAGAGATTTCCCTCCGAGAGCAGGGCCATGGCTGCGAGCGCAAATGCCAGGAATAGTTTTGCATCTCTGAGATCACTTTGCTGGTGGCCACAGAGCGGTTCCGACCAGCTTCTGCCGCTGTTTATTCAAGAGAAAGCCGGAGGTTAAGGGTAATGTAAAAGTCTTAAGAGTCAGGGTTAGGCACAGGAACTGGACTTTTTCAGCAAACAAGAAAAGCATGCGTGTGGGTCTAATACTCCTCCGTGTAGAAACATTCAAATGTCACAGCTAGGCAGTAAAAGCGCAGCGGGAGGGCAGGTTTTTCCAGACCGGAGCTGAGCCATGAACAGGCTGGGATGAGGTCACCCCGGGCTGGAGGCTCCTCCCCATCCTCTGCTCCCTCCTCCCGGGCCTGCGGGGCAGCAGCACCCGCAGCAGGCCTCTTTCCAGTAGACAGAGTTGGGGGCAGGGACACAGGTCGTGAACGTGTGACTCTACAAGGGGGAAAAGGTAAGGGGATGACTCAGTTCTGCTCCTTTGAGCTCTAATCAAATTATCTGCAAGAAGTTACATGCTCTTAGGCCTTCGAAAAGCACTCTTGCTTTATTTTTCTCATTTCATTCACTTCAACAAATACAGCTTGGCAGCCCAGTGCAAGCAAGTCTTCAGTGGGAGATCAGTCAAAACTTGCAACAGAACCAGACCTAAATAGGGGTCTGAAAATTAAACACAAATCAGAAATAGTGAGATTTCTCATTTACTCACAGGTGATGATTATATCCTACCATGCTGTTGATGTTAGGTTGTGCACTGGGGACAGGGTCATCCTCCACATGGATCTCTCATCTGGGAAGACGGTGGCCAGCACACGGGGTCACACACAGACACACACTCACGTCTGCGCAGTGGCTTCTCCCTGGTTCACCCAGTGCAAGGCGAGAGAGTGCTCCAGCCAGGCCCGTGGCGAGGAGTGTGCGGCAGGTGGATCCGGACCTCACTGCACTGGAGCAGCGTCCCACGAAGTGGCAGCTGGCCTCAGCCCAGGGTGCAGAGGCCACACTCAGCAAGCCCCTGAAGGTAAAGGGGTGCACAGAGACAGTCATGGGCCTTGCTGTATTTTTACTCTCAAAAGCAGGAAGGACCATGTTTCCTGCAAGTTCTATGCAAACTCACTAGAGTTGCTGTCCTTGTGAGCTGAGGTGGCTGCTGTAGACGAGGCAGAGCCAGATCCCAGCCTGACCTGGGCCACCAGCAGCCTGGAGGACAGTCACACGTGTGGGCCCAGAGGCCCTCCAGTCCTGGACGCCTCCCATTGTGCATTTCTAAGGGCCAGAAGCGCCTGCCACCTGCTTTATTCTTTGCCTCACACAACCCGCCAAGCCCACCCGTGATCCGGCCCCTGCCCCCCCAACCCTGCCCACGCCTCCTCCTCTCTCCCTCCCCACCCCTCAGGCCCTCATGGCGCCATCTTGCGGCCCACCTCCAGACCTGGAGACCTTTCCTGGCCCTCCAGGAACCCTTTGCTGCTGCCTCCTCCCCACCACCCTCTGTCTTTAGGCTTCCATCCGTTTCTCAATCTTATTTCCTTCCGGCCCTCCAGACCAGGCTGCTTTCTCACTGGAAACCCTCCACATCCTGTTCCTGTCCTGTACTTCCTGGGGCTCGTCATGTCTGAAATAATGAAGAAACTGGTCAGTTCACGAGTCTCTGCACATCTTCTCTGCCTTCGAATAAACACAAAGCTTTGCAGCAGCAAGGCCATGCTTGCCGTGTGCCTGACTCTGTAATAAGGAGCATCAAGGTGAGGATGAAGGATGGGGAAGGCCCGGGACCCTGCACCCACCAAGGCTCCTGCGTGGGGTCTCTTTGACCAGTCTAGCTCCATGATGCTCTCAGGGACAGGCAAGTGCCTCAGACTGAGCCTATTAATATTCTTTCCCGGAATTCCTCTCCAAGAACTTTTGGAAGAGATGTTCTTGCGTCACCTAAATCCTAAGGAAGAAGTTTTCCTGCAGTTTCATTTGCCATGCAGAGGAACTCGTCAGTGGCAGAGGGGAACTCACGATGCCTCTGGTTCCCGGGCAGCCTGAAGGGCACGGGTTCCCCCCAATACAGAGAGCTTCCAGGCACAGGTCCACTTCCGCACCTTGGCTTCAGTGAATCTAAGCTTCTGTTTCCTGGGGGTGAAAATACATCCAACACATGTGGATTGAGTGGTCTGTCAGAACAAAATCACAGCTTCTCTCAGTGTGAATTAAGATCTGTTCTCACCACCCCATAAGAGCTAAGAGCACACCCAGTCTGTGGGGACGACTAGACAGGTGAATAAGTGAAATAACAGTCACTGAATATCTTCACAGAAATTGGGAGCTGTAACTCCACCCCAGACACAGAGCTCTTGCCTGAGGGGTGGGGAAGTCAGCCTTGAGCTAGAAACTGACTGAGCAGAGGCAGAGAGTACCAGTGGGTGTGGAGCTCATGGGATGGAGGAGACCGAAGACCGAGCCAGCATCCTTGGGCTGCCTTGGACCTGCCACTGCAAATGCTTTGACAGAAAGCCAGGTTCTTCAGATCCCAGATAACAGCAGACTTACTGTGCTCAGAGTTTTGTCCCAACGTTGAAAGAACATGTGTCACCGGTACCAATGGGCAGGTGAAATAGAATGCCACCTCTTCGAAATTCTAAACCTAGCTTAGGATATAGGCTAAGGAGCTTCACACATACTGTCACTAGAAGACTCGCCCCTTTTCAGTGGGCTGGTGAACCTGTTTACACAGATCCGCCCTGAATTCCCCAGCATAATTTCCCCTGGAACCTATAATCTGCACATCTGTCCTCTGTTTCAACACACTGTGAACTTCAAGCGCTCGGCTTGTGACACATGCCTGCGTCGGTACCTTACTATGTCTGGGGTTGGTGACTCCTTCCACACAGGGCTGGGCTGGGGTCGGAGGACCCAAGGTACAGCGGGGAAGGGAGGAGGAGGAGGAAACACCCAGACCAGGCCCACCTGGCCACCACTGCTTTAGGGCTGTGCCTGCTGAAGTGTTTTCACACGAACTTTCCCCTGGAAGAAGCCATGGCACTGACCACCCCTGCTCACAACTTCTGTTACTGCATCATGGCTTCATTTTATTTTATTGTTAACTGTAGTTTTTAATGGGCCCTTTCAATGTTGGCCCAGCATGCTGGTGATGTCCTTGCTTGTCAAGTGGAAGCTGGGGCAGTCCTTCTGTGCTGCCGTGGGCTTCCAAAGCCCAGGCGGAGGCAGCAGGAGTCTATCTGCTGGATCCGCAGCTCCCCCTGCATAGACGCTGCCCCAGCACTGCCTGGGGCCCACTCCTGGGTCTGCAGTGTGGCCAGGGCGAGGGAGAGGCAGTTCTGCTGGCTGAGCCCTCAGCTGAGCCCTCCCAGCTGTCTCCCTTCCCCGGGCTCGAGGCTTCCATCTCCTCATCCCTCAGACCTTTTCTCCCCAGCCAGTCTGTCCCATCTCCACAAAGGTGAAATAGTTGTAGGCATGCAGTGCCTGTGTGTATGTTCTTTGAAACAGCTCTAATTGCTGGTTAGAGCATCTAATCGATGCTATTTTTAGAGAAAATTCATGGCAAGACAAAGGACCATATTAACAATATTTATTTTTTATCATTTTTCAAGGTAATATAAAAACAAAAGTGAGATTCTATTTAAACATCTAAGAAACAGGAGTCAGTGAGAGTCTCATGGGAGCACTGCACTCTGGAGACTGGGTATCAGCAAACTTCTGCTCCGAATGACTGGGGTCATCTTGAAGGGCTCTATAACATCAGTGTACAGTCTGAGATCATATGCTTATGGTGTGTAAGTGCAACAAAAACATAGACCCTTGAATGGAACTATGGGAGCATCCAACAGATGCAGAATAAACCTCTGTTAACTCCACCACGGACCAGTGTCACACACACTCCAAGGTGCTTCCCTATGACACAGTGTGTAGTTCCACATTAACTGACGCACCCTGCACCTTTGACATTCCTGACGCTTTGTTTTGTGTACCAGGATCAAATTCACAACCTCAGGCTTGCCAGGCAGGTGCTTATGCCACTCAGCTAAATCCTCGGGGAAAGGGAGAAGCAACTGCAGAAGAAAGTCCACAGAGACTCGATGGCAGGAGAACGATAAAAATCAGATTAGGAAGCAATCGTCTAAACTGAAATGTATGGTGAGTTGGTGGAGTTATTGAAATTTATTTCTCCAGTCATCATCCCTCCGCATTCTGAAGTTTATGTTTCCAAACAGAATGTCTGATGGCAAAACCTCGTGCCATTTCTTACGGCCAGACAGTTTGGGCTGTTTCTTAGATGATACCTTGGAAGAAGTCTGTGCATGTGAAATTCAGCATGACATTTCCCAATGATTCATTTGTTTGAACCAAATTTGACCTTTGTGTTGGCCTAAGAAAATACTCCATAATTGGATTACATTCCCACGTAATTTGTAAGCACTCGAATTCATAGGAACTCGCGATGTCCGAGTCTGCTCCATCGCTGAGACCCGAGTCCAGCAGCAGGCTTTTCCTGAAGCCTGAACACAGCCTCCGCTCCAGCGCACACTTGCTGCTCTGAGCGGGCACAGCCGAGCACGCGTGTCGGTTTTGCTCCACACCTGCTGTGTCAGAACCATTTGTCTCTGCACGCATCCCCTTGACCCCCTTTACAATGTCCAGGGCAGAGGGGCAATGTGGACCATCGCTAGGTCCAGGCCCTACCTGCCACTTGGCACGTGGAGCTGCTGGTGGAAAGGTTCAAACCAGAGTTCATTTTCTTTTCTCCTTACCTAGCTCCCCTTCCTGCCCTCTGTGTCAGAGAACATCACCGAAATCCACCAGTTGCCAGTCAGAAGCCTGGAAGCTGAACCCACCTCCTTCCCAGCCTCTGCAGCCGGTTGATGCCTCTTCTACCTCGTTCCCAAGCCCTCGAGCTTCCTGAAAGTCTGCCCTGGCTGGGAGCTGTGGCATGTGGGTGGTGCAGGCCTGCGGGAGGCTCCTGTGCTCCCCGTGCTGGGAGGAGGCTCTCAAAGGCTGGCACTGCCTTGGAGAAAGGGTGCGGCCAGGCGGGCAGAGTGTGGGGCTGCTCCCATGCAATGAGGGAGGTCTACATGTGAGGCTCACCTGTTGCTTATCAGTTGCTGAGACTCCAAATCACCACTGCTCAGAAGGAAAGAACAACTGGGATGGGGCAAGGAGAAGAGGAAGAAGGGGAAAGATTATGTGTGTGTGTGTGTGTGCACGATAGATAACTATAGTACTGACTTTTGTGAGTTCACCTAAAAGAGCAGTTTGTGCTTTCATTGTTTGATCATGTTTTGTGCCTAAATCTTGTAACCTGAGCAACTACCTCTAAGATAACAATATGCTATATATTAACTAGTGTTAATTTCCTACTATTGTTTGAAACTCTGTGTCATTTCTATCCATTTTTTGTTTTTAAGTTAAAAAACACCAAATATTAGACATGAAAATTATATAGTAAGCTGGTATTCATTACATATTTACCTCTATTTTCACAGCAATTTCAGTTTAAAATTCTATCTAAAACTTTTCCCTAGTTTTAGATAATCACACATTGTCATCTGTGATGATCATACTCCTCCAGTTTTAAAGGTTCTATTCTGTTCTATAGAATTTTCACGAACTGTTTTTCATTGCTCAGTATGACACTGTTCAGATTTTAAAGTGTAGAACATTTTGGAGGCTGAAGGCAAATGCAAACCTTGCCCTGCACCTCTGATCCTTCCCGCCCAGCAATTCCAGGAAGTTAAAGTGCTGACTTGGAGATCATGAGCATATTTTAAGTATTTTCCAGAGTGGCACTGATGTCCCCTCCAGCACAGTGGCATCAGATCATACGAAAAATGCACGCCAGCCCACGTTGTGAGACCCAGCATTGCCCAGCTGCACAGCAGGACACACTGTCCATTCTGTTGGACAGAAACGTTTTACCGCCTCTTCCTACTACTTAGAGGATTTCCAAGTGGAAGAAAGCACCCCAGGCAGAGGTCTGCCCTCCTGGGGAGACTGTCGCCGTGACCACAGCCTGGGGCCTTGTCCAACTGCACCCTGTGTCCAGGGTCCACCGGGCCAGGCGTCCTGCATGGCTCAGGCTGTAGACAAAACTCATAAAGTTTTACAGTCAGGAAAGAACCTTCAAAGAGCTGCATCACTTCAAAGGGCCAATTTTCCTAATGAAGCCCGCAATTTAAGGCAGCGCAGTGTACTGAGTGCGGAGGGCTGGTGATTATCTCAGCAGAGCTGCAGCTCTGGACACGCAGAGGATGCCCTGAGCCCGGGGTCTGCATCGCAGCCTCCGCTTGGCACGTGGGGTCCACACTGCAGACCGAGCCCCAAGGCCCTGGGGCCAAGGCTGACGGGTTTTCACCTCATGCTGGTGATTAGAGCCCAGAGCACCCAGGGAAACCCGGGGTCTTTGATGTCTTCAGGCTGAATATGTGCTTCCTACAGCCCGGAGGAATTTAAAAATGACTAGGTTTACACTCAAGGTGTCCAGTGAGAAGCACTCAAGACACTCAGCCTCTGCAACATGCTTTCCTATGATTCGACTCTTCCTAAATTCTCAGTGTACAACCGTGCAGCATTCAGATCACTCAAATGTACCCACAACTGCTCCTCTTCGTGAGGCTCTGAAATACCCGCCACAAGCTCTGCTGTGCACACTCGCTGGGTGCGGGTGGAAAACTTGTTGGTTCAAAATTGGAAGAAAGGATGCAATAAGAAAACTAGAAATCGTGATGGACTGATATCACGGCTGGAGCTGTGAACTCAGTGGTAGAGAACCTGGGCAGCAAGCTTGAGGCCCAGCACAAGAGAAGAAAGAAGGACGGAAGGACGGAAGGACTGAAGGACGGAAGGAAGGAAGGAAGGAAGGAAGAAGGGGGAAAGCGGGGAGGGAGAGACGGGAAAGCCAGTTTCAAAACAGCCCTGGCAGACGTGGTCTCACCACATGCGTGAGCAGAGGCCTCCTAAACCCAGGTAGGACATCAGAAATGGTTTCACCATTCATCTTGTTACAGACTTTTGTTTTTCAAAAATTAGAGACACATTTTGGAAAATATCTTGGTAGTGTGAAGAGTAGATAGAGTTTCTATTATTTAAAAATCTCTACATTTTCACAAGGGCTTCATACAATGAAACAGACCATGTAATGCACAGGCCTAGGGTCTGAGTCAGCCCAGAGTCCTCTCATCTGATGAGCATCGGTGCTTCGGAGGAGACGACTGCAGAGTCACTGGACTTTACTAACAGCTTTTTTTCCCTGCGGTAATGTGCCTGATCTATGTGGATTCAGAGGGGCGCAGTAACCACGTCTGAGGGAACGAGGAGCAGTTGAAAGGTCCCGCATGTTCGCTGAGGCCCAGGTTAACAACTGAGGAGATGTGGGGTTCAGGTCAGGAGAGACAGTGCGGGGCCACGATACCCTATTTTCATAGGTTTAAATGACCCCACAATGAGGCAGAGGGTGTGCTTTCTTAGAAAACACTTTAATAGTTTCTTGAAGTTTCCATGACAGCTATGACTGTTCACAACGCAGATTAAAAAGTGACGAGTGAGCAAAAGCAAAGATAACAACCAGCAGAGCAGGGCTCGGAATTTATCATCAGCTCATGAACCAAGACGCTAAGCTCATCACACATAGAAAACTCGCACTGTGGCTTACCCAGTGATCCTTCCCCAGCAGGAGGCCTCCGCAGCGCTCCCTCCCCAGACACGCCTGACACAGGTCTCTTCCAGGTAGCTCAGAACAAATCCTATGATGAATGCTTGAAGTAAAGGGGTTTTTGTTTTCTGGAGTAAATGTGTCTGAAGGATAAAATCCAAGTACCAGGAAAGGAGAGAAATCACTCTTAACTCAGAACACAGGAAAGGGTAGCATGTGCGGGAGGACAGACCTCAGATCATCACAGCTGAGGGAAAACACTGAACCACAGTGACACTGACCTGGCCCCTTCCAGCAGTATGCACTCGCGGCCAGATGTTCTACAGGGTTACAGAGTCCAGCTGACTGGTTTCAGGGAAGCCATAGGACGCATCGAGTATTTCCCTTTCTGCAAATTTGCTGGGCATGCTCAATGAGACACACGTGCCACTAGAAAGGGAAACGGGCCTTGCACTATGCCAAGTCCTAGCTGGACTCAGAGAAGTGGTCAGGGTTGAACTCTAGCTTCACCAGTAACTGAAAAGAACATTGCGTCTCCAAAGATCCCACTGCAGAGCGGAGAATAAGAGTGTAATCGGTCTTACCCAGACCCCCTGCCATTTGCTGAATGAATATTTTTTGGTAAAATAGAACCGCTCTGGAAGGTAGATACCATTGCCACCTCAGCTTCCCTAAAGGAGCATTCAGAGAGGGCAGGGCCCTGGCCCCGAGTGCAGCTCCTCCCTCAGCCACAGGACACAAACCTCTGAACATGCAGGCGGCTGCTTGGAAGCCGAACTTCCTGACACCCTTGAAGAGGCAGCAGCGAGGTGGCCATGGACCGCATCACTAGGCCTCTCTCATGGTCCTCGGCTGAGCTGTAGCTGCTGACCTCTTTCTTGTGGGTCTGCAGAATTCCCTCACCCCTCTCTGGTCTTCAGCCTGTTCAGTCTTGATTATTGGCTTTGCTGAAACATCCACAAAGCAGAGAGAGGAATAACAAAAGCTTCCATGAGTGGTGACCAAAATGTATTCCAAAGTCCTGAAAGTGAGCACAGGAGCTGGTGATCTCTAATGGTGTGTAGGTGTGTGGATAAATGTGCACGCATGCACGTGTGTGTACCCAGACACGAGCATCTATTTACTATCAGAAAGCATAAATGTTCAAACAGTTGCTTCATCACACTCCTGAGGTGTGCTGTGTGCCGTGGGGAGATTTGCGTGTCCGCTCCTCCATCCGGTCTGTGAGCTGCTCAGCAGAGGCTGCTTCTTGACTTTGGACTGCATTCGTTCTGTGTCATCAGAAGCCTCGAGCATAGCAGAAGCCCCAAGGGACCACAGAGCGGCTGCTGACACGGCCCACCGAGGGCACCAAACCCAGCAACAGTGCAAATGAAACATCTTCTCCACAAGCTCCCTGCTAGCCAAGGTGTGGCCACTCTCCCTCCTTCCCGCTGGCGGGTTAGTGACCACAGGCTGGACACTTGACACTGCAGATAGGGCCCTCTACGTGGTTGTTACAAGGGCAATGATTTGCACAGTGAGCGGCCACCTAGAGGAACTCTTCTGGAAGGAAGCTTGAGGTTGACATCCCTCGGGCCTGGGGTGTGCAGGGGGACCTGAAATGTCAACCAGCCAAGCACCATAGCCTCTGCTCCGGACCTCAGCCCACTCCCGCCACCAGCACCGTGGGCACAGCAACTCCAGGGAGACAGCGATGGCCCCACCACGCGCCTGTCAGGACAGCTACCACATCTGCACAGACACAGCAGTGGCACTGGCGCCCCGGGCCGGTGGGCACCTCGTTCACTCCTAGCACTGCCACTTGCTTTGGAAGGCACGGGTGGTTTCTTACCCACAGATCCCCGTTGACCAGAGGGCCAGGAGCTACCCTTCTGGGTGGTTGAGGACCATGAAGACCATGTGTCCACAAAAAACTCGTCTACAGGTGCTTTCACAGCTGTACCCTGACTGCCGCACCTCGCAACAACCAGGAGGTGCGAGCAGTGGACCAGGGAATCTGATTCCACTGAAGGCAGAGGTGCTCAGGGGAGGACACGGCACAGAGGAGATTTAAATGTGTGCCACCAAGGGGGAAAAAACCCTGCAAAAGCCACTCAGCACTAAGCACAGGATTCCAGGGCATGGCACTGTGGGCCAGTCCAGCTATGGAGAACAAATATATATACATACATCCTTACACTGAAGTTTTCACGGCTCTTTAGTCAAATTAAGTGTCAAACACAAATTTATTCATATCTTGGGTTACTGATTATTAATTTCACTGATCTTTAAGTCACACATTTGCACTTTTATAAATAAATGTGTACACTACTATTACAATGCTTTCACACCTGTGAGCTTAAATATCAATGAAAGTCTTACAAGCACACAGAATCTGCATAAAATTGTGCCTGTGGTCATGTTCAACAAGTTTTGCCATTGTTAGCACTCATCTGACGTGGCCTGGGCTTTCTTATGTCTTAAATGGAGAGGCCCAGATGGCTAAAGACGAATTCTGCCATCTCCGTTGCTCTTGTTACCAAACATGTCACCCCAGGGCTCTGCGGGATGTCTTTCCTCTGTGTTAGCAGGATGTCTCTGGGTCTCAGCCCTTCCTCCGACTCCGCGTCAGAATCCAAGAGCCACTGTGTGGGACTCTGGCTGTCCTCTGTCTTCCGTATGTGGCCGCCTTGGCAGAGCCGGCTGGGGGCCAGCTTTGTTAGGTCCTGGAGTCTACCTCAGCTGGGGTTTTGCTCTCAGTTGCTTTGACGTGTT